TCAATAATTTTGAATTACAAAATAAATAAATTTGTTAAATCTTCAAGTAAGTAAATCTTGTTTTTTCCATTAATAACAAAATCGCACGGAAATAAAATAGCAAGAAGCCTAAGATAATATTGTTGTGTTTCAGTTATTATTATGTTTTAAAGCAATATTATTAAAAAATTATCTCTAAAAATTAAGATTAAATATAATTTTTGAATATTAGGTACTATTATTATTAAATTTATTTCATTTGGACTTTCATCGCATTTAAAAGCAACTTGCACGACTTGTCTTAGGCCACAAGATCTACATATCTTCTTCTCTTCTTCTCGTAGTGCCTATCCGGTTCGGATGCAGGTCACTAGCATGGCTATTCTAACTTTATTGGCCGTTGCACGGAACAGTTCAATAGTGGTTAAGGCAAACGATTCTCTGAGGTTTTGAAGCCAAGAGTTTCTTCTGCGTCCTGGTCCTCCATGGCCATATATTTTGCCCAGAAGAATCAGCTGCACCAGACCAAACCGATCTTCGCTTGGTGTTATATGATCCAAGTATTCCAGTTTCAGTTGTTTTATTTTATTGTTGATCTCATACTTTCTATAGTTAATGTCGATCTAGCCGACTCTTATTACACAAATAAGGAAATTCCACCAGGAAAGGGTTAACATCGATTGATCAGTATCAGAGAGTTACGAGCCCCACAAAGCTTTCTCACACACATCGTCAGAAAATGAAGTACAAATTTACATGTACAATTCAAACATAAAATAATATAACGGGTTTTTATTGCGCACTCGTACAAAACCTACTACCTTTGCTTCAAATTACCAAATTTTTTTATACTAAAAAAATTCTCTTCTGCAATTTTTTGATGAAAAGTCAAAGCGGCGATGTTTTTTGTCATTAACGAATAGTTACAGGTAGATAGCGTATGTCAATAATTCGCCAAACTGTGGCTTACTTTGAAGATCCTTTCTCGAATTTGCGGATATGCGATTAGTTCTGGGGAAATACCACACTAACATGGAGGTAGATACCCTGGTGGAGATTGGCTCCAGGAAGATAGTGGACGACAATAGATATTCGGGTTCCAGACACAGAGGAACAAATATTGGACATAATTTCAGAAGCGCCTTGCAGGGGCACTCCGAGCATTGCACAACAACTAACACTTTCCCAGGTACCAAATAAATACCGACAAAGGCCTACATTCCTACCACGTATGTAAAATACACACAGCTCAAGGACACATTAAACCAATGGATTTAACACCGGTACAAATTGAGCAGGAGTTAATTAATCGAATACGAGAAGCTACTCGAAAAAAGTGGATAATAAGGTAATTACACAGGCACTAACTTGTTTGAAGTTAAAGACTCAAATGCATGTTTATTTGCAAACTTCAATTCGAGTTTATGAGGACAATAATTGACATTTCAAAAAATAGCGTTCGACATTTAACGAATCCTATTGAATTTACCGTTTTCTTGACTGTTTTAATGCCAGTTTCTGTATAATTCCATAGTTAACGGAGCGGTTTTTAAACATGCAATAATATACAGGGTATTCCACTGCAAAAATGTCCATGGCAAATCCATAGAAAATTCTGAAAATTTTTAATTTTGTGAAATATGTTTGCTTCTCTGACGCGAGCAATTTACTGGCCAATTTAGTGATAGAGCATCAGCTATGAGCCCACAGCGAACAATTGGGCTGCGATAGATAACAATTTATTGCGGACCTACAGCATGATGAAAATTATTGTGAGGTTGTGAACATTTTTAAGGTTATCTGTTTGTCAACTGTACAATGAGAATGTTGGCGACGATCCTCTAAGTAAAGTAACAAGGGAATAGACGTCAGATATTTATTTTTATTTTCATTGTGTATCAAATATTGAACATCTGTGTTGCATTTAATAAGTTTAGCAAATTGATGAGAAAAATTATTCGCAGGCGTACGAAAAAATTAGGCTCTTAGATGAAAAAAATATCGATATAAAGAAAAAACCATAAAACTGGAATGGCGACAAGTGTTTCTTAAATTTTCCTCTCCGGAAAAACTCCGTACGTATATACAGTAGAGTGCTACTATACTTTCAATTATTAGCTAAAACACGTTCATTGACGTGTTCTGTTCTCAGAGTTGTTCTCTAGCTAAAGAGCTACAGCGATTGAATGTATTTGCGCTGGAAATTCGGCAAGATTTTTGATAAATTTGAATTCGCGACATAAATTTGCATAATGAATCAGCCCCTGTGTGGAAGTGAATGGGTGGCGGAGGTGGCGGCGCGGCGGCGTGGTAGATTTGCGTGGGCGGATGGGTAGAGATTTGAACGGTCGTCCGCGTCCGCGCTAGTCGTTACAGTCCACCCGCCACAAACGGCCATTGCCAGAGAAAGTCCAGAAGAAGACTCCAGTCGGGGCTGAAAGGCGTCAAACAGGGCAAAGCAACAAGTGACGCGCGCTTATGGGTCGGCAGAATGATCACCTGAATCCCGTTTAGAGTGCGTGTATGCGGCATGAAGACCGTGCTAGCCGCCGCAGCCGCTGCACTGTGCGTGGTGTGCGTGGTAGCCACGCCGCAGCCCCGTAGAGAGACATTTCGATACTGGAAGAAACGCATGGATTCCCAGCCCATTGTAGATCAAAGCACCCCAAACTTTCAATCCCCACCTGAACAATACCATGGCGTTAATTCCCAGCTCGTTATGCGAACCCCAAGAGGTCAACGACCGTACGATATTCCACAAATAGGTAAGTCTCCACCAGTAGCCACCCACTCCACTTCCCAGTCATTTCAACACGTCTTCACATTCCTGTTTTTAGCCCATTCTTCAAGACTAAATTGCGCTAAGCAAGCAGTAATTGAGTGTTTTCTATATTTGTACTAACAGCTTCCAAGTGGGACCAATAGTTCATAGACGATGCAAAGCTATCAGCATAGATCATATTTTACAAATTTGAGGCAGCATAAAATTGACATCATGATTTTCATTGAAACATTTCCTGTCTGATTCGATTTACCGTTGTAGTGGTGGTGAAATGAAGCGATTTCCGCTTCAAGTGATTACGCAGGGTCACATTGACGCATCAAAATTTTAGAGTCGTGTGGAAAAAATTTGAAAGTACACATAATATTCTAAATCTACACTATGACTTTTGTGTATGTAAATAAAGACTTGTGTTCAAAAATAACGACAAACATTTGCACAACGATTCGAATTTGATGTGGATCACCCAAACATTACAATGAAACCAGAAAACGTAACTTCAGTTCATTCGTGAGCATATTGAACATGCGTGATGCGTTCACTAGATTCAAATAATGCATTGAATAAAAATTTGCAGCCGTCATAATTTTGTATCAGTGAAAAGTATAACCGCAGATGAAAACGTTCTACGTAATTTAGCAAACAACATATTACGCATTCGAGGATTCAATGATCTACTTCCTTGCGATTTTCTCGTTAACAATGAATACGTGGGCTTTTTCAAACGATTGCTGGCAAATACTGGAGAAAATACTCTACTTTGTTATGTTAGAATGCTCATGGTTATTTTCTTTGGTTGTCCTAATGATATCGATTGGTTCTAGCGATGGATATTTTACCTTTCCTCGGCAAAGTACAATTTTTGATTACTTTTTTCCATTCCTTCTTCCTGAAAAGGATACCTTTTGTTCTCATGGTGTTATTGAAACTGTCCAATCCCATTCACCAATGGAGACTTCAATTTATTTACGAACTAAGATTGATTACAACTATTTTTTAGTGATATACAGGGAGTCCCGGAATATGTGGGCATGCTCTCGAATTTGTACAGCGGACCTTTAAAAGTGTCATAAAAAAAAATTCCTGAGAGCCTCCTTACGGGGATACAGGCCTCTAAAGGTCACCTGAGAATCGATTTGTTTAAGTAACTTTTAGAATACTTCATCCAATTTAGTTATTTTTTTATACAATGAACAGTATATCATTGCTCGTAAAAAGGACCCAAGAAACCATTTTTAGAATTTCGGTTTGCCAGGGATGGACTAGGTGAACCACCATAACAGTTATGTAGTTTTTTACTGTTTACAATGAAGACATGAAAATAAGGTAGCTTTAATCTTAAACTAAAAAATACGCTCTTGATTCACATCGATGAACAGAACGGTTTCCGAGGAAAAAATATTTTTATTGAATACGGATTCACTGAACAATTTTGTATGTAGGTTCAACATGAGCTCCTTCCAATCATATGCACTCCCTAGCTCGAAGAATTATTTCAATCTCCACAATGCTCGAACATTGGTTCTCATTTGCCGCAATAAAAATCAATACTTTCTAATAATATTTCCTTAGTGTCGACAAAATAGGCATACACTCAAGTTTATAAATAATCCAAAAAAAAATCTAAAGGGTTGAAACCTGGCGATCTAGGACGCCTCGGATCCTCCTCTTTCCATCTAACGTTGTCCGTATTGCATGATTAAGTATCCTCGAACTGCCAGGATGACATGGGATATCACATCGCCTGCCGTATTGCCAAAGGTAAGTCTTCTGAAAGTTCTGGCAAGTTCTTTTGGAGAAATTCCAAATAAAGTGCCCCGGTCAACCTGTTAGGCAATACGTATGTTCCTATTCAATGTTGTCCGATGTTTCCAGCCCATATATTGATAGGTTGAAACTGGTGTTGATGGTGAGTCACAATAAAAGCATGCGGATTTTCTTCTGCCCATAAACGGAAATAACGGGAGTTTATTCCTTTATGCTTAGAAAATCCAGCTTTGTCCGTAAACATAACTGAACTGACAAAGTTTGCATTGTTTTTGTACATACGTAAAAGCCAGTTTGAAAGTTCCATCCTTCATAGAAAGTCTTCAAGAAGAAGTGCACGAACCTGTTGAGGGTGATAAGGCTGCAATTGCTGTTCCTTAGCGATCCTAAAAACTTTAAATTTTGGACAATGAAACTGGGCACTTAATTTCCGAACACCTATTGAACGATCTACTTCTACCGAATTTAAAATATCTTCTTCAGCAACCGCATTGCGATTCACTTGCTTCCCACAATTGTGTTTGGCTTTGGTAAGGTATTATTTCACCTACTCAAAAAGTACGTAAAGCCTTTTGGCTTCTACGGCATCATATGCTCTAAGCCATACATTAAGTGCATGTCTGAAGTGATAATAAGTAATATTCTGAAAACGTAAATTCCGTTACTAAAAAAATTAAATATAAGAATAACATAAATTGTTTTTAATAACACATTTTAACATGTAACTTGCTCAAAAAGTAGCTCTCGCTAAGTGACACAAAAACACAGCCCACTGTTTACTATTTTTCCTCGAAAACCGTTTTGTTTATCGATATGAATTAAGCGTGTCTTTTTTTAGTTTAAGGTTAAAGCTACCTTAATACATTATTTTCGCGTCTTCATTATAAAGGATAAAAAAAATTAACTATTATTGTGCTCCTCCTCGTCCATCCCTGGCAAATCCCTGGCAAAGCGTCCATCCCTGGCAAAGCTAAATGTTAAAAATGTTTTCATGGGTACTTTTTAAGAGCAATAATGTATTGTTTACTGTGTGAAAAAATAATTAAATTGCGTGAAATATTCTAAAAGTTTAAGTAAAGTAAAAGGCATGTATTTACAAGCAGCATCAAGACCAGTTTTGACAAATAGTAGATATGGTCAGCATGGTTTCGCAGATGGCAACGAAAAGATGAAATAGAACTACCTATGTTTCAGTGAATTCAATCAAATCTCCTAATGGAGATTTACTTTAGGAACTCAAAACATATCAACTCTTTCAAATTTAGCTGTATGGTATACGTTACATTGAAGTCATCTTTGCGTCATAATAAGGCTTGAACTTACCTCGAGTCAGTTTCTCTTTATTACTCGACTTTTAAGATACTGCTTATTAATTTCCTTATCAATGTTTGCTCTGGGGGTTTTATAGTCAATTCCATAAATCGTACAGTCTATTAGGTTACAGAGTGCTCTATTAGTGAAATGATCAATTCCGAATCCACTGTCCGCCTTGAGGTCAAATAATAATATTTCTCCATCAGTTCCAACAATGAGAAACGCGCATTTTACTGATTGTGACTGAATTGTTCCAGCATATTTTGTTTAAGTTAGCCAATAATACTTTAGTTTATTATTTTATAATCCTTATCGTTATTTTATTTCGTTTTCCTTGTGATATCGACTGGTTCCAGAGATGGATATTTTACCTTTCCTCGCCAACGTAGAATGTTTACTGATTTTGCTGATAATTGCAGTATATTTATCACTGACTAAAGCAGTACTATTGAAAAACGGGAACATTTTTTATATCCGTTTTTCTGGAAATAATATCTTTTTTCTTCGTACTGTGATTCAAAAACTCAAAAACCATCCGAGAAAGATTTCAATGACGAGTTTCCATTTATGAACTATCAGTTACTACTAATGTTTTGTTTGTGATTTTACAACCATTTTTAAGTGATATGAATTAATAATCTATTTAGATTTCAACATTTTTATATTAGATATTAGATTATAGATAGATATTATGAAATAGATTAGATTATTTATCAACAACTTTGATTATTCTGCGAAACTTGCTACCTGAACTTGAGAAAGCTTGAATTCACCTCTAGTCAGTTGTTCTTTATTGCGCTACTTATAACATATACCTATTTCTTATATACTTATTTCTTTATTAATGTTTGTTCTGGTGGCTTTAAAGTCGATTCGGTACATCTTTCAGTCTTGTCCGCCTTGACGTCACATAATCAGATTTAAGATTTCTCTGTCAGTTCTAAAAATGAGATTGGAACATTGTGCTCATTATTGCTGATTGTTTAAACATTTTAAGTTAAACAAACAACCGCCAAATTAATATTTTCAATCTGACCTGTGACTTGATGCTTTAGAAGGCAAATGCCTAAATTTAATAAAATACATAATTATGTTGTACTGGTATTGTTGAAAATATCTACAAGGTGATTCAAAATTAAAATTGTCAAATAGTTAGAACGAAATTTAAAAATATGTTTCTCTTCATTCGGCTTGTATTATTTAGAAAAATGTCAAAGTTACCAACCGTTCCAATAGCTGAAAATAATATCGGCAAAAATGTTTGACCGATAAATTACCAACAATTTGACTTCTCATTTGTAACAAATTTTGACGAAAACTTTGTAGTAAAATTGAGTTGATTTAACTAGTTGCGATTGTTGGATAACATATTTTCATCACTATCTACATCTATTGTTAGAAACATATGCAGTAACAACGAAGATGGCAAATAGCGTTATTAAAAACCGAACATGTATTTAGTTCACAAATGAAAACGAGTTCCATAGTATTATGAGAATGTCCAGTTGAAGCCTAGTCAAGTACAAGATAATTCCTAGAACGAATAAGCCTAAAATATTAAAACGCCCACAATTAATGGTTACAGCTAACAGCGAAAATAACTATTGATGGCGTTATGACCTTGGATCGCCAGTTGAAGGTTATTAGACTTTGCTTTTACACTGCCATGCTTGAACAATAAACTCTAACAACGCACAAAGGTTATACAAACAAACAAACAAACAAAAGTTATTTGTGCTTACAACAAAGGCTAACAACAACACGCCAAAATAGTTATTGAATTACATGATATAATAATATTAAATCTATACAATGCTCCATGATACATTATGAAATATCAGAAAAGCCATTAATAAGAAATTCATTGATGGAGTAGAATGTTTTAACAATCAAATATTTTTT